GTACGTGGACCAGTAAATTGTCCCAACATAAAGGCTGTTTCCCACCTGGACGACATGGATTGAAGGTAGAAGCTGTTGAAGCTTGCAGTGATACCGTTCAGCTTTCAAATATTCTGTCTATACCTTTCTCCTGGTTTGCTAAGGAGTTGTTTTTCACCATCAGGACACTAGGGGCCTTATTTACAGGATAGTTTTATGTCAACAAATGAGCGAGCTGTGTGAGTGTGTAATCCTGATATTTTGTGGGGAGGAAAAAAAGGTAATGTGGAATTGATATTTTTATACCTCACTGCCATATGACTTTTTTTGTTAATATTAACATGCTATTAAGCTGGTTTAAATTTGGTAGAACCATGCTCCATGGAATTATGTGACCTGTTCATTGCCCCAAGGAATGTGTAAATCAGTGCCCGCCTTTCTGCAGCTGCTTTGAAAGCGCAGTTCTCTACAAGCCCAATGATTTTGTTCTCAGTTTGTAAGTGTTTGCAGGGTACTGAAGGAGCCTAATATAAGTATTAGTCAGTAAAAGATGACCCAGTGAGAATAACAGTAAAGACTCATTACGATGTATTTAGCACATTGTAATGTAATAATATTAATGCATGTGTGTTTTATAAGCAGTAGGGTGTTGTGGATACAGAGTACCCTGTTATTCCTTATTTCTGTGTGACATTACAGCTTTTTGGCTCATATATCCATTGTCTTCCAAATGAGGACAACAGACTTAAGATTAAGTTATAGTTAAAACAGACTTAAGATTAAGTTATAGTTAAAACAGACTTAAGATTAAGTTATAGTTAAAACAGACTTAAGATTAAGTTATAGTTAATACTTGTGTCTTTAAAGGACACCACCAACTTAAGCACTGCATTTTTGTCTAAATATTTTGTGATCTACTGACTCTTGTTGCAGTGACAGGTAATACTACAATATCTGAAAGAGATCAGAGGAGCATTTTTTTTCTTTGCAGCTCATTTGTGTATAGCAAATGTTGATGAAATTGGTATCAATGTGATTATAAGGAAGAAAAAAAGAAAAATTATAGTAATCTAAAACTTCATTTTAGATATCCAGTGTCTTGGCTTCGAAGAATCCTGCTGTGCTCCTTACTTTGGTGAGTCATATTATTCTGTAGAATTACTACCCATTTTCTTGAATAAGGAGAGCAGGTTATTCAGTATTTCTTTGCACTGTCATTCCCTATCTTTTTCTCCCCATCTTTGCCAAATTTGAAGCTACCTGTGTATAGTAATCTAGTTTTCTGGCACCTCCATGATCTCAAAATTTGTAACCTCTGGCCTTCCAATCTATGTTCTTTTTGCCAAAACCTTTATCTGCTTTGTAGTAAAATATGACAAGCCTATCTAACGTCAACCATGCTGCCCTCCAGCCTATGTACGGTGACTCCAAACTCCATTTTTCTCTTTTACTGCTCTGGTCATGTCATGAGCATGTTTGGGCTTTTCTATGGAAATCCTGCAAAGATTCAGGGAATGCTGTTCCTGCATTGAGTGGGTTGGTAAGAGCAACTTCTGGGAGGAAGGAATGGTATTGCACACCTGCAAAGTATTTTGAATGGTGCTTGCTTATTTCTCTGGAAGACGGATGAATGAACGGATGTAGAGCTTGCAGGTTTCTTCTCCATCACCTCTTTCCTTGACAGATGTTTTGTAAACCTCTTACTATTAGAGTATCTGATTTCTTGTCTCCAATAAGAAATGATTTGCTGACTCTGAGCTTTCTCTTACAGCAAATGCAGTGGCAGCTCCTGAATTTCTTGTTTTCCTATGTTAGTTGCCAGACAGAAGTCTTACAAAAAATGCCTCCTTAAGCAGTCACATGGCATGAGATCTGATTTCTTAAGAACAGAGGCCCTAAATAGTTTTCAGTCTTTCTTCCACTTACATTTGTATACACACACAGACACACATATAAAAGATGACCCTATAGCTTTCTTCATGTTCTTTGAGAAATGAGTGAGAAAGGGACTATTTTACCATCTTGTGCTTCTTACCATTCATTTCTGCACATCAAGCTGTTGATTAGTTGTCATTCTGTGAGCATCCTGTTGTAATCAGGAATTTTCACCTAATTCCTGGCTGAGAGGATGGAGCTGTGATGCTTTCCCATTCCTCCCACTGCCGTGGAGAAGTACACAGAGAAGGGAAGAGCACTTGGTCCTTTCCTCCTGTCGTCTCTTTCCAGATACAGAACTCTAATGCTGCTCCACAGGGTTTCCCAGGCATATGGCAGAAGTGTCCATCTGCTGTGTAGCAGCCAAAATACTCTTGCTTATGCTACTTGCTTGAATGAAAACCTGTAGGGGAGTGGCATGCAAATTTAAATAGTAAGCATTGCCAAGGCAGTGTGTAATAATTTATTTTTAAATGAAATTACTTCAGAAGAAACCTTGCTCATTTGTTACTCCCTTGCCCTTTTTTATATAGGTCTCCTAGCTCTCAAGACATAAGGGAATTAAAAATCAAAGTCTGCCATTTTCCTAAGCAGCATATCCTAACCTGAGTTCTACGCTGGTCTGTTATGAAACAAATAATTTCTAATACTGGTCTGCATTTCAACAAACAGTCTAGGTTTTTTATTTATAGTGATTCAGGTAAACTTATGTATAAGTTTTCCTAAAGACTTACTGCAATCAGGTTCTCCCCATGATTTAAATTTTAAATACTGTGTTTGGCTCAGAATCATGGTGCTTTTAATCTTTTCCCTCCCAGCGCGGTGTTAATACTGATAGCGGAAATGTCTCCAAAGAAGCTTCGTTTGAGGGAATCAGCCAGTAAGTGACAAAGCTTTTTAATACATTAATTGTTGCGTGGTTATGTTTAATTAATTTTATATTTCACATTCAGTGATGTTTTTTCCTAATGACAGGATGTTGAATGTCAGATCAAATGTATTAGTATATCTTTGGAAAGAAAATGTTTGACATGTTTCTAATGACTTGAAATACAGTGGTGGGTTTTTTTGGAAATCTGTCTTGCATCTAAGGTCATCCAATGTTTCTCTTTCTCTGAGTTTCCTTTAAGTATCTAAAACCAAACAGACCCATCCCCTTATCTCCATTTCCACTTTTGGGATTGGAATATTTGGTTTTCAGATTTCAGAAAAAGAAATCTTTGAGTACCTTCTTTCTGTTCATCACTTCCTTGTACAGTATTAAGGTACATATGAGGGATTCTGGTATGTGCAGTCTTCTGAAAAGATGTTACATTACAGGTGTAAAATAAAAGATGACCTTTCTGCCTAGATGTGATCTTTTATTGTCCCTTGGTGTTGTCTTTTTATGAAGTTTGGCTGCTAGCGGGGTGAAAATGTCCTCCTGCATTCAGTATTTTGAAAAGTTAGTAAATAAAAGTACATCACAGTCTGCTCTGGGATGTGAGGATGATGGCCTCAATTTTGAATGAAATACAACCATCTATTCTGTTATAATATCCTAAAATGAAATCCATTTTCCATTTTAGCTCAAGTGTATGGCAAAAAAGAAACAAAGCCTGTTAAAAAACCTGTTAAAATAAACACTCATGCTGAGATGTTGAATAGATGGCCTTTTTTAATGACCCTTGACTCCCAGTCACCCCACTGTATTTTTCTCCATCCACCTCTGTCAACAGCATGTTAATTATGCAATGATGATCATAATGCACAGAATTTGCTGCAAGTCTGGGCACTTATTTGTTTAGTCCAAGAGCATGCTTTCTGCTGGGTTCATCTTTTCTCTGCGTCATGTGAACTGAAATACGGAATCTGATTCCATAATTACTTTGTTCTCCCCTCTACAACCTAAATGGAAACCTAATGATTCTGTCAGGGATATTGGGGACCGAGGTGGCAGACATTTAGACATCTTTTGCTGCCCAGTGAGTTAAATGTAAACTATTCCAGAATACAAGCAAGCTGTTTTTAATGCATATTTGGTCTCCTCTCTGCTGTCACAGCAGTATGATGTTCTGTTGCTTTGACCAAGTAGATACTCAGTTCATACGCTCTCCAGGTACAGGTGGACTCCAAAATCTGTGTGGAGCAATACCTCCAGTTTTATCTGAGACATCTCCACATGAGATATAAACAGTTATTAACTCCAGCAGTAATTTGTCATGGGAATGATGTACAAAGGTCTATTTGAAGTACCAAAAAGCCCTTTTCCCCCCCCTGAATTTCACTAAACACTAGAGTTTAATTAGTAACACGTTCTATTACTAGTCAACATTAAGGTAGGAAGCCACTCCATTTAGCACTTGATGTGAGATTTTAATAGCATGTCTCCTGCAACACTTAAAGGAATTAATGGTATTTTATTGCTGGCTTCCCAGTTTGCTGTACACGTGGTGTGAGTGTGCTCTAGGAGGAGTACTTCCCCATTCTTTGGGGGTGATTTCCGACTGTTTCGCAGATACTTGTCTTTTGAGACTTGGGATAAGCTCATCCCTCTCCACCTCTAGGCACCAAGTTGTTCATTTTGCTGCCTCTCACAGATCTGATTGGTGTCTTCCCCTCCTGTGCTCGTTGTGCAGAAGAGCAGGCATTGATGTTGTTGTTGGATGTGTTGAAGATCCACTCCCCTCTTCTGACAGATAGCATGCCCTCAAACCACTCGTCACTCCAGCCTTGATCTCTGTGACTCCTGCTTTCTTCTCCAGGGCTGTCCCATCTCTCAGGAGGGTGTGCTTGGTCTGCGTACCAGTGGCAGGCATGCGGAGAGCCATCGCTGCTAATTGAGGGTGCAGAGGAGGGGGAATCTGCTCTTCTCAGATTTTTGTAACTGCATATGAACCAGCCCATTTTATATTTATTTTTGACACCAACCCAAACCAATTTCAGCATTTCTGCTTTCCTGCTTCTCCACCTCTTCTATATTAAATGTTTCCTTTGTAGAATTGCATATATTTTGGATGTATTGATTTCTTCCAAGAGGACTAAAGCCATGGAGTTCATACTGAGCAATGTGTTCCTTCAGCCCACCCTCCCGTGACTGCGCCTTGTTCGCTGTCTCGTCTGCCCTCCGCTCAGCGGGCTTTGCCCTAGCTATGATGCTGTATTTCATTCCTGGGTTCTTGTTTGTTTCCATTTTCAAGCTATCTGGCCAAGATGTATTTGCTTGCCAGGGCCCTTTTGTGTTCCTCCTGTTCCCATTTGTCTTTTTTACCTAGACTGACTGTGCCCCAATGTGTGGTGTTTTGTTGTTTTTGTTTTTTTTTTTTCTTTTCTGATGGATAATAATAGAAATACTGTATCATTTCCTGAAAAAGCTGAATCTCACACTCTTTGCAGGTTGTTCATCTGCTCCTGTCAGAAGCTGCCTTTTTCTTGCCCTAATGATGTTGCTTCCCTGCCTTACTTTTTTGAACCTTTTAAACTTCTTCTGGAACATAATTACCTAAACTATTTGATTAATTTTTCCACTGTAATAAATAGTCTTTTGAGACCAAATGACTACTGTGGTCATGGGTTATTTCTATGCTCACCCTGAAGATCACCCCTAAGTTATTTTTGTCCTGTAAGCAATGATCAAACTTGATTTTATGTTGATAATAGAGCCCATAATAGTGAATTATGTCATGGTTTCCATTAGTTTATGTATAGCTGCCTCATATAGCAAAGTATATTGTACTAAAAAAAGGGAATATGTTGCTGCAATCTGTAAAAATGGAGAATGGCGGTACTTGGGAAGTCACCCTGCTCAGCAGTGAGTAGTACCATGGTTCAGCAGAGGGAGCAGCCTGGGGCAGGGATGTCGGAGACCTGGAGCGTTTACTAATGTTGTTCCTGGTAACTCCCCTCGGGTCAGCTGTATTTACAGCTGTTACGAATCCTACAGAAATGACTTGCTCTCAGTTGCCTCAGATGGCTTAAGTATCAAAGGCAGGCTTCTGAAGTAGTTCTAATGCATTGTTTTCTAGAAACATGTATTTCTGTTTGCTAATAAAGGCTAGTTCCTTTTTTTCCCCCTAATTCATGGGTGCATTTTTCAGACTGGAAAATGTGCAGGAATTTTTTATATCTAATCATGTGGTGGTTATGTAGCACTTCTAAAAATGCTTTGAGATGATATGGCTCACCATATAGAAAATGGATTTTGAACCTGTATGGATAAAGAGTAATGTGCCACATACTTTAAAACAATGTTGAATACATCTTTACTTGCTGTGTTGGGGGCTTTTTTCATCCTCAGAATCGACTGATGTAAATGATACAAGAAATTGTATGTAATGTTTAAAGTTTTTCAGTGAATTCCTTTGCCTCAGAACCACACTTGTTGGGTATCACTTGTTGGCCATCTAAGTGGCCTCTTCCCTATTGCGTAGTGAAGTCAGTCATTAGGGGAAAGACTCTCCATGTTGAAGAAGAGTAGAAAATTCTAACATCATTTATGAATACGTTTTAGATTCTTATCACCATACACATACAAAGTGTATTTGTTAAGCTTACAAAAAAGGATCTCATTATACGGCGTTATTATACAAGAGGTGTAGATTTCTAGGTTTTTATTTTAAACTAATGAAATTGTCTCACATGTTAAAGGACAACTGAGTATGAAATCAATTTGGACATGCCTTTCAGTGTAGTATTTCTTAGTTCTGTGTTGATTAAATGGGAGCATTAACACCTTACAGATTGCAACTGTAGCAAAATGTCAATTTGTTTTCTTCCTCAAGAACACCTATCTCATCATCTAAGTATTATCAATTTGCAAATTGCAGGAAAATGTAGAATTTGATTGCTCTACATGATCCTCTTAATGTTAGGGTAGTGCATGGGTTTTAAGAGTAAGTTGTTTACTGTCTAGCAGGATAAAAACTTTGCTGAATGGACAAGGTCGGGTTATTGTATGTAGGACTTTGTGCACAAATTATGTGAATTAAACACTATTTGTGTTCTCCTGTTGGTGATGACAAGCTCTTCCCCTTGAGGTTGTTATTTAACCAGTTCTAGGATGTGGTTTGTTTAGCTGCCTTGTTGGTTTGAGTCATTAGCTTTAGAAGGCTAGCAGTTGTAACCAGGTGGCTTGTGGCCACTCGCACAGGACCCACAGCTGCCACGAGCTAAGCGGAGTTGAGACAGTTGAATCCTTAATCGTCAGTTTCATACAATACATCAGATTCTCTTCCGAATGTGAACTGATGCTATGTCCTGGAGATCTAAGATCTTGTTTTATACTTGACATTATATCGGAAAGTCTGTCTTCCAGGTAAGAGATAGAGCTGCCATTCTACTGATGACCTCCTGCCTCTTCTCCACGCCCCCAGCACCCCCTTGTTGTAATCCTGCTGCCTTCCTGTGTGTTTAATTAGCTTCCCCAGTTGACAGCAAATAGAATTTTATGGAGCTGCCACATAGTAGGTGGTCCCAGCCAGTAAGTAAAACTTGCGTTTCTGGCAGCACAAAGGCAGTTCAAGCAGAGCCTTTAGGGCCAGGATAACTAAAAAATAGGGACTGTGACAGAGATGGTACAGCTCTTGGCTGAAAGCTCTTTCCTAAAAGAGCGTTATTTGAACTATTATAAGCCTATGCTGCTGTACAATTTTTTTTATTTATTTATTTATTTTAAATCATAGCTAGATGCTTAGATGAGAGACAATCTTCTGTTGTGAGGTTCATAGTTTTACTGTTTGGCTTGTTTGAATTGCTTTTGGTTTCATCCATTTGTGCTTGTGTTTGAAGTGCATGTGTCAAGTTCTTGAGAGACGAGATGTGAATTTTCCGAGTTTGTCAGCTGCTTTCTGTACCTGCAGTTCCCTGCCCTTTATTTTCTTTTTTTACTTTGTAATAACCATGGTTTATACTTGTCTTATTTGCATAGAGCTGGTGTTGGAGTTTTTTTGCAGTGCTGTAGTGTCTCCTTACACTTGCCTTCATTGATCTGTTTTGTGTCTCACATACTGATGGCAATTATTGAAAGTCCTCATGTCTGTTGTTGCAGCTGCAGCTTAATTCTTCTGTGTCTCAGTTTTCTGTGGTGGTGTCAGTTGTTATGCTTTCCAGCCAAATTGGGAGCTCAGGCTTTTGTTTTTTAATAGAATTTTTATAGATTGAGTTTACTATATCATTTGTATATTTTCTTCTGTATAAATTTGTGTTTAACTGGCTATTCCATTCCAGAATTATGTCTGCATTGGCCTACAGAGGTAATAGTTGTTGGGATTAAATTGAAAAAGCGCCCTTTTTCTCTGGTTTTACAAGACTTTCTTCTATAAGCTTTATTCTATAATGGTGCATTGTTCTGTGGTTTGTGACTTTTTGTATTGTGTTGCTTTTCCAGTGGTTTCTAATTACTACCCATAATAGTGAATACCATACAGCTTGTCCTTGTTGAATGTTGTGATAAGTTCTTGTTTTCTGTCTTGGAGTAGGAACACAAAGCTATTAACCTTCACCTTGTTAGGATTTTATAAGTTTGTGAGCATATGTTCTTGAAAAACAGAAGCATAGTTTTTTCTTCTGCTATCTGAGGATGCAGTGAAACCCTCGTACAATCAGAAGTGACTTCCAAATAATTTTTTTAATTGGATTTGTGCTTTAGTTGGTCCCTTCTGAGGTATAAAGAATGGTTAATAACCTGGAATAGATTTCATTTTTCCTTCAAAAATGTGGGAAAATGGATTGTTGCCTTACAACATTCTTTTGAAGATCTGTTGGGAGCCTTGGAGCATTTTAATTCCCTTAAATTCCCTAACTGAAAAGCCAACAGTCCTGAGTCAGACAAAAATATCTTTGATGCAGAACACTCCTTAGGCATTTAAATTGTAAGCAAAAAAAACCCCTTGAACAATGCTTGAAAATCCATTTGTGTTCCACTTAATTACTCAGCTTCTTACTCTATTGGCCACTGTAATGTTATTGTTTAGAGAGCCTCAAAATAGTTCCAAGAATACATGAATTGCTAATGTGGAAAATAAACAGAAAAATAGTTACATGTTTGAGGCCAAGGTGAGATGGAAGCTTTTGCTTTGCCTCTTCTCTAGATCAGAAAAGACAAGGAGAGGTTGTTTCCTTTTCACAGTCCTCTAAGCAAACTTGTTTATCACATGCCGCGTTCTGTGCACACAAAAATCGAAAGGCATAAAACAAAGGATGAAATTAGCAAGGCACACCGTTTAATTTCATTGAAGGGTGTTTGAGGAGCAAAGTTAAAGTCACAGAACAATTTGGAAGGGACCTCTGGAGGTCAATGTTGTCCAACCCACACTCATAGCAGTGAATTAGTAACATTTTATCTTTGTCAAAATAAGTTTAATAAACATGTCTTGAACACACCATTACTCTGGTTTCTGCACATTCTTAAAATTATGTCTCTGGCTTAGTCTCATGTGTTTCAAAATTAAATACTTACACAGTGAAGATAAGCATGTGCATTCTTCTCACTGGGATCTATACTGAATTCCAATACAATATTTGCTTTCACAATTTTTCACATCCTCAGAGAAGACACAGTTAAAAAAAAAGAAGTAAATATGTAGTCTCTGGTGTTGTATGTCTGGCTGGTTTTTAAATTTTTTTTTATTTTTTTTTATTTTTTTTTAGATTTAATGTGAACAACAAAATCCTTCATCCTGAAATTGCAGAATGGTGAGTAGCATAAAATCTTTTTCTTTGAGTACTGTTGAATGTGCTTATATTCTGTACCATTGCTTGAGAGAGTCCCTCAGCAGAAGCCCTCCTACTTTACTGCATGTGTTTTAATTTTAAGCTGATTTCACGTTATGGGCTGGAAATAATGTACAAAAGTAAAAACAGCGTTAGGTAGCAGCATTGAAAAGTGAAGAATTTGTGTAACATTTCTTAAGCATTGTGTCTGGATACACATTTTTATAGAATGTGTTTGGAGTTAAGTCACATTCATGTAAATGTGAATTTGAATGAATAGGAAAAGAACTGAGGATAATTCATATTCTAGCAACGAAAATCAAAGGTAGATGAAAATTGTGTCTGAACAGGTAATATTTAATAAGGTGTTATTACTTCTCTAGGATTTATTTTAACAGCATTAATTTTGTTGAATTATTATTCATGTAACTGTACTTTGTAATTCTAGGTGAATTCTGCTGTATCCTATCTAGAATAGACAAAATTAGAGAGTGTGACTGAGTGTATTAGTAGCTTGCAAAGCTACTGCGTTTTACCAGTTTTCCTCTTTTGGTCAGCATTGCTGACTTTGTCCTCAGGATTGCTCCATAACTAGGGCTCTCTAGTTTTCCATTTAGGAAATTAACTGAAAAAACAACATAGTGGATTTTTGTTAATGAATTAGGTTTTTATCTAAGCTTTTTGAGTGTATTTATTAATCTAGAAGTGGGGAAGCAAATCCTTAATTAAGACAGATAAGCTCAAAATCTTAAAATACAAACACAAAAGTGTGCACTCTGACTACCACTTTCGTAGCTTATTGCATTATATGCTACTACTTTTTTTTTTTTAAGGTTTGTTATTAGCACATATGCTGAGAACAATCTTCTACTGTCTTCATCTACATCTAATTGCCACCTTGCAAACTGTGGAGATGTTTTTTGAACATCAATGCGATTTCAGAACGTGTAGAATTTTTAATAGGTCACATTTTTGTTGTTACAGCTATTTTTCATTGCTTGGTGTGACATAAAAAAGTTGTAAAAGGAAAATGGGAAGTGGGGAAACTTTGCTTAGACATTGTTCCATCACTGAGCCATGGATGGTCCTGGAGATGTGTAGTAGTGGGACTCATTGCTTGCAAATCCTGCTGATGAGTGTAAGGGGCAATGTGAGTGCTTTGTAACACAGAAAACTCGGGGTACCAGTTTTTAAATCTTCCCTATTCTGTCCTTCTGGAATTTTGACCCTTAATTTTCCAAGATAAATTATCTTCTAGAATTGATTTCTGAATTTAAGAGTTGGTGCAGCCTTTGAAGTGCAAAGCCCTGAGTAATGTAGACAGAACACAAGCTTGGAAATTGATGTCTAGGAACGTGCTTTTCAGATGCATAGATTAAACACAATTAGGTAAAAGAGGAGCTTAGCAAAACCTGGGGTTTTTTTGGAAATGTCATTAGTGTTTAATTAGTCAAGCTCCTGTCATTACAGGTGCTGATAAGAAAGATCTAGAAAAGTTCACACATGCTCTGAGACCTCTGATGCCACGCTACGTTGCTTACAAAAATAATAGAAAGGGTAAATCAAATTAGAGATTCTTCATAAAATCTTATTTTCCTGCAGAGGTGGCTGCTCCTGAGTTCTGGTTGGTTGGTTTGGTGTAGAGCATGGGGTTTTTTTGTTTTTTAAGACATTGGGAACTTTCAGCCCCTGACACTGCATTCTCGTGTCCCCAGCAGCCAGAGGAGGATTCTCTAAGTGACCTGACAAACCGTTTAAAGAGCAGAGGAGGGAGCTACACCTTTAACCTGACAGTGTTGGGTTTGTGCTCCTCTTGTTTGCCCGCCTTTTTGTATTCTTGTTAGCAGAGAAAAACAAGGGGCAAGGAAGGGGACCTGAAGAGGGGCCTGGTCTAACTTCCAATCTTTGAGCAGCACTACAGGGAGAGAGATGACAATTTTAGGGGTGGAAGGCTTTGGATTAGTGCTACCAGCTTGTTCCCAAGTTAGCTTTCATTCTGGTCCCATCCACCTTACCAAGGTGTCACCTGATAAGCTTTTCTCCTCTGTGGTTTGGGATAACGGGGAGTTAAATCTTCTTCAGGAAGCTCAGGGATGGACAAACATGAAGTCTGTGCCCTGAGGTTGTACTGAGAGAGATGGAGCATTGAAGCAGCAGAAAGGCAGCACTTGGTGCTGTTCGTTTTGGTGTAGAGATAACCTCTTCTGTGAATTATGAGTGCCAGCCCGGAATTCTGATTTTTGTCCTCCCTGTGATCTCACAAGGGAGAGATGCTTGGTATGCACCTTCCCTCCACCTGGCTTTCAAGGAAGAGGAATTCTAAGTGAAGCCAAAGTTCAGATTTGCATTCAAAAGTGTTTTAAAAGGTTTTATTGAGTTTGGTGCCTTTCATTTTAAGTCAAAAGTATATTAAAGACCGTTGTTACGATTTAATTGTCTAGTGAAATCAGTACATGAATGACAGGCTATGTGTCTTCCTAAAGTAAAAATTTCCTTGGAATGTCAAGTTATCGTCCAAGAAACTTTCTTTGGAAAGCAATAGTATTTTTAGAATTAAGAATACTTTTCTTTGAGGAAGATGAATTTTTGGGGGGTTATATTCTAGGGTAGGAAATTGCTTCATTTGAATCATATCCTTGCATGGATGCATATAATTTCAAATTCAGCAAGTTCTGAACTACTCTGTTTTACATGATACTTGTCAGAAAAACTCTGATCTATACCTTGCTGTCAAAACTGCCAGCAAGAGGTGAAATGGCTGAGCTTTCTGAATCAGCCGGGGAGAACTGTGAGCTACAGAAGGCAACTCTAGTATTATACAGTCTTCTAATAAAATGCAGAGGAAATGGTTCAAATACTGACAAGGGGAAAAGTGTTTGTGATTGAGGATCTGTTGCTTCTCTGGCTTACTCATCCTTTTTCAAGATCTCAACATTTTCTGACTTGCTGTGAAACTTAAGGATAAAACATAAATTAATTTGACCTTAGACTGGATTTCAGCAGTCTGCAGAGGGTGTTTTCAGGGGTTTTTTTGGGTGACTGTGGTAATACAGACATATTTAAACATTTTCATTTTAAATTTCAAAGCACCCATTTCAAATTTGATAATGAATGTATACGCCAAGTATTGATTTCACTATTTTGAAAAGAAAATGTTATCTAACAGAAGACCAACTCCAAACTTGTTGAAATTATCTCCCTAGTAATCAGAAGCAAATTTTTCTAGACTTGCACTGAGCAAAATGGCCTTTTATTACTTTAGTATACCAATGTCTGTCTACCATAATTGTGGTGGTGCTAGAAGATAAACATTTAGCAATGTACGGCTCATTTTGTGCCTGTATATTTTCCTGTAACCTCAATGAAAATGGAATTTGATAGTTATGTGTGGAAGATTTCAGATATTGTGTATGTTGCATTTCTTTGATGGAAAGCTATAATTGTTTCTTCGGGGAAAGTGATCTGTATGTTAACGTCTTAAAGCTGGGCATACACTTTTTGTGTTTCCAGAGGATTTTTATTTATGTTGTAAACCTCTTAACATCTTTTTGAACTGTTTCAAGATGAACTCCCGTGTTTGGTGTTCACGCAACTGTCTTTCAGAATTATATTGTAATGCTTCTCCTTTGCATATGTGCATTACTATGTTTACTGGCTTTAATGCTAATTCAGTTAGTAAGTTTTTGTGCGAATGCTTGCAGAAGACCCTAAATATATCAACTATGGTAGAGAAATTCCTATAAATAAAATGTGGAAAGGTGACAGCAGAGGTGAAAAAGTGTGAAGACAAGGTAGGACTGCGGAGTTTGTCTATGTGGGCAGCATCTATACTTACTAGGTGGTATGTAAATGTAACGTTTCCAGAAGAACAAGGAGGAGTGGATGTAGCCAGACATTTTCCATGCATGTCAGAGAAAGCAGCCATTAAGGTTGCACACATGTACTAAAAACAACAAAACAAGACAGTTGATAAACACTGAGCTGATAATTGGGAATACTTCTGGTGGTCTGATCAGGAATGGTGAATGCACAGAAAAGCAAACATTTGTCTGTCTTTGAGGAAAGCACTGGTTTAGGAGAACGTATTCGGGTTACGTGAGTTTCAGCCTCATAATTGCCTTGAATTCTGTATGCTCTTAACCACTTGATTCATGGAAAATAGATTGTGCATTAAATTTGGTATCCAGCCATTTAAAATCCCCAAACTTAATTTCAGGACTGAAATGATACTTGTTTGTATTAAAGCTTCTCTCTTCTGTTGGATGACTGACATGCATAAAAAGACCACCTGCTCATATGGCAAGTGCAAGTAAAAGCACAAACTGTATGTACAAGAGGAGAGTGAGGAATAAGAAATGTTTTTACACTGGTAAAATGGGGGAGGAAGTTAAAAGTTATACATTTCCTGACAGTAGGAGACTTGTGCTTCTATTTTAATTTGATTGCATTGAGTGGCTTGCTTATTAATCTGAGAACTGCGTTACATGCTGAATCTGTACGTTTTTGCAATTGCATTAGCTGGAGCCTGGAAATTATTTGTTCCCATTAATATGTTAATGAATGTATGCAGAATGTGTAACTGGTCCAAGAGCTGTTTTTAATAGAGTGTTGAAGTTCACATTCCTGAACGAAGGTGGGACTTTCTTCCAAGCCTTATCTTGGAAGTGGACGGGAAAACATAATGAGAACTGTGGACCACTCATCACCCACAAGATTGCCATACAGTGCTAACCACAGTGCTTGACTAGCAACACTTCAACCCTGGCTTGGGAGAGTGTTGCTTTTTATGCCATCAGAGCAGTAAGCAGTTGGGGGAAATACATGCCCTTGGGAACTGCATCAGCAGTACCACTGCAGACAACCTAGGAGCCCAGTGACTTTTTCTTTTCGGTATCTAGTGGAGGATGAAGTTGATCGTGTTGCCTGCACAATTGTACATCTTCCCTCTCTTCCCTGCTAATGGTTGGGTAGTGGGTTTTAATGGTCTCAGAATGACTAAACATTTTCTGTAAAATGTTTCAGTGCTTGACCTTGTGGTAAATGAAGGTAATGCATTGCATAAAAAATCTGTCTGAGGCTGAGCATGGATTCATATATGCAAAAAGATACCTCAGAAATTATGATCTAAAATAAATACCTTGACCCTGAAAGCCTATGGCCTAGTCAAGTAAAATAGGTTCTAATAATGTTTGCACTTGACGTTGAGCAGTTACTAACTTGTATTACTAGCAGATCCCAATAAAGAGATTAGACAACTGAATTATGAAACAACCTGTATCTTGGGCACTTGCAGATCAGGGGTATGTACTGTATATTGAAAGTAATATAAAGGCACATCAAACAAGTATTAAATTATCCTGCTAGCACATGCAGTCTTCTGAAGAACAGGATTAAAAAAAAACATCTGTAAGCCTTTGCTACCTCATTCTAACATGAATATATTTGAGCTACTACTGTTCTTTATGTCTTGGCTGAAAGGCAGAAGCAGAAGCTTGTTTCCTCACCCATGGTGAGCAGATTATACCATCCCAGTGTAATTTTTTCAACTCAGTGTGCATTTTGAAACCTTGCACTTCTCATTCTCAATGTGCATAATGATTATTTTGTGTCATATTCCAGTTGACTGAGAATGTCAATCCATTCCCTTCTACTGTGTTTCTGTTTGTAAGAGCATTTTGATTGATATCAGCATTTTTTCAAAGGTACCTTTAATCTCGCCAGAAAAGTTGTGTTCGAAGGGGAGTGGCTATGCCGCATAGTGATGCAATCACTGTCTGTGGGAAATGCTCTTACCACACATCAGAGCCACTGATGGCTGAGAAACCTGTTTCTGGAGTCATTAAAACAAACTACAGGAGCAGAAACACAGTAAATTGTTTTCTACAGCAGTGTGAGTAGGAACATGCTATAATAAAAAAGGGGTGTCTTTGTGGCAGTTTCAAAATATAACAGTTTTGGTGCTTTGTAACTGCTGCAAGCTCTGGAGTGGAGCCAGAAAATACAATTTAAATATTTTCATGCAATTCAATAGCTGTAGTTTTGTTCTTTGTAAACAGTAAGTATGTACTTCACGACTGCCTTTTAGATGAGCATGAGAAATACTAGGAAATCAGTGTGTGTAGCAGTGGAAAGAGTAGGTGATTTTCAATAGAAGGTAGGAAACTGTCTCTGCTTCTCTGTTCATGGCACACTAAATAGCTGCTTTTATTTGAAGTACATGATAGAAAGCAGCGTAAGTAGGTAAGAGTTTAATGGTAAATCTTTGAGATGAGTTCAGAACAGAATATCAAGGCTCATAAATAGACACAAATTCAGTATCTCATAAGGCATGAAGAACAGGATGGGAGGGTGTTGATTTTGATTTGGTTTGTTTGCTTTTTTCCCTCCAGAGATACGTGAAAGAGAATGGTCATTGTAGCTGTAATTACTGCTGCTGTGGTTTCTGACTTTCATGTTTTGGGTTTTTGTAATACCAAACAGCAATAGCATTTCTTCTGCATCATGTCCCTGTTGTCATCGTGTCCATCCCCGTGTGTCATCCTGCCTGCCCCCTGCCTTTTGAGCTATTGCAAATAGGTGGGGGTTGGGATTGTGCTGAAAAGAAATTCTGGATCTCTGGGAATTGCATGATGTAAACTAGTTTCAAATTGTGTTTAAAAAGTAAATCAAGTATGCTTGTAGAAATGTTCCGTTTGAAGTAGTATTTGAGCCATGACAAATGCAGAAATACGTTGCTTTTGTTCCTAATGTATTGTAGAATGAGTTGAAAAAATGTTGGTTGGACCACTTGTTTATTAGTATTAAAATAATGCAGGCTGATGTTTGAAATGCTTGTGACTTTCCTTTGTGAGATTGTTTTGCTAATGGTGAATCAATGCCAACAAAACTTTGCTGTCATGAATACTGTAATAGCTCTTCGCTCTTGAGGTGTACTTGATCTAATTTTACCATAGGTGATGCATATTATTTTCAGGGGTTTTTTATTTCGTATTCTTAAGCTGTGAAGTTGCAACCTAACCTGATATCTGTTCTACTTTTCTTTAAGTCGTGTGATTAAGACAGACATGGAGTTGGAAGTTCTGCGCTACACCAATAAAATCTCCAGTGAAGCTCATAAAGAGGTAATGGTTCCTTTACTGTTAATAATTTTTGCTCTTAGTGTAGCAGTGGTACTCAGAAAATGTTCCCAGCAACCCTGAATTGCGTAGTAATAAAATAATGGAAAGGCTGGGTAGGAATAAGAGGATAATATCCCTTCTATTACAGCCCAGTAATATACCTTGCATTGTCCTTGAACTCACTGGTGCATTTGTGATGTGTGAGAAATGAAGTGTGGTTTTGGATAAGAGCTGGAGCCTCAGCAGAAAGTGACCTGCTTGCAGTTCTGTATGCACAAATACCTGTATAGTGATGGAGAAAGAAGAGATCAAGAAGAATATTTTTCTGGCCTATGTCAGCATGTGCAGCTCTGAAATGTTTAACTAGCAGGTTACTCTGTCCAGAGCCTTACAAACTGAAGGAATGTTTCCATGCACAGTGGAGGATAGTGCAAGGATTCCTGAAGTTGCTCCTGAGAGTTGAGTACGTCCCCCAGCACAGTGCTTCATGATGCTGTTCTGCTGACATAGCAGTGTGGCAAACACAGATCCAGGCTGTCAGCAAGGCTGCTCAGATTGGACCTAGCACTGTACCAGTGAAGTCATATTGCTCTACTGGTATTGATGACACAATTAACTTGGGTTTCAATCCTGCACTCCCTATAGTGATGCAGAGGTGCCATGAGTTCTGAGCAATGACCAGAGGGAGCTTAGGTAAAAGTAGCTGATGAGGTTACTGACACGACTGTTGTCTTTGCTCTTGCTCCTCAGATTTCTGAACTGTGAAGTGTAAAAATATTTTAAAGTGAATATTGTAAAATTGCAAAGTCTATGGATAGTCATTTGCATTCATTCTCCTCGGTCCTTCATCATCCTTGAATAATCTTATCACATACAGAAACAGGCAAAGGAATAAAACTGGTGCAAATCTCAGCAAATCTGAGAACAAAAATCAGACTTATGCATTGCAAAACAGTGTTAACACTAGTAGTTTTCTGTTGATTTGGATTGCAAAGTATAAATGAGAATGTCCCATGTAGTATATTCTAGTTCACAGTTTTGTTTTGCTGGTGTTTCATAAAAATAAAGCAAAAGGACTTGCTGCCAAGTTCACCAGAGCTTTCAGAATTAAGCATTGGTATTTTGATGAGCTGCACTTCATTAGGATATAGCAGTTTGGCAATTAAACTTGCTTTATTGCTGGAGACTGCAGGCATTTATAAAGATTAAAATGAGTTTGATTTCTAATGTAGTTTTAAAATGCATCTACTAATGTAAATTGAAATTAAGTACAGATGACGTTTTTGTAATATGACTGAGTATCTCCAGAGAAACCTGTAAGTCGTAAATTTATAAATACAAGGTTCCCTCCTGCTATGAATGTCCCATGTTAATGTGTATCTTACAGGTAATGAAGGCAGTAAAAGCAGGAATGAAAGAATACGAGATGGAGAGGTAAGAATTCTTTCAATAATTGTAATAAAAAGGAGAAAGTCTCTGTGTAATAGGGGTAGAAACAATAGCTGAGGCAAAGCAGTAGTATTGATTCAGTTGAGACTGAGAGCTCATTGCTGCTTGAAAACTGTTGTAAGCATTACTTTATTATTTTGAGGTGGTACTTCATCAGTTTCAAAGGTGTATTTGGTGATGGTTGATTATTTTTTGGTGATGGTTTAGTGTAGCATAATTCTCTTCCTGGAGTTTTAGTAATTTACAGAAGCTTTGCAAACTAGCTGTTGTTATTGTTTGAAGCCATCCAATAAAGTGGTGTTTATGGATAAACATTGCCCTTTATGCTTGTTATGCTTAGAAGACTGCATGTATGAGTGTTTAAGAACATTATAAAAGGCTGTGCTCAATTACATTTTGCCTGCAATTACAAGTTGGCATTACCTGTACTTAGCCTGTACAAGGAGCTCATCTCACAAATGTAACGGATGTTACTTCAGCTGTTCAGAAGTCAGTAAGAATACAGCATGTATCTGTTACGTTGAAGAAAACATGCTGTAGAGGCATATATAGGAATGATTGGCTGCTCCTAACTGATACAGTAGTGATGTGTCTAGATACAAGGAAAACATTTCCTCCTCTTTTAAATCAATATTTACATTAGATCATTATCAGCCTATCTTATAAAGCACAGTTTTGATCACCAAGTCCATTTATTTTTAGCTCACATACAGCATTTTCAATTGTCAAAGAATTTTCATAATGAAGAAATATAAAATAGCAGTCATATCTCCGTTACTGTTGGTTCGTGATGGTAATTTTTCAAACATTGGTAAGCAGGCTAGTTCAGCGCCCGGTGAGGGGAAAACAAAGTGACCTCAATATTTGTCATATTTCAAGGTAGCTCAAAAACCAAATAATGCCCTTGGAACATACGCAATATGGAAAAACTAATGTTGCATTTAAGCAGTTTAAATTTCTACAGACTCTATAGGCTTATGCTTATAATTTGACTGTGCTTCAAATTGCAGTTACATATACCACCAGGTAACAGGGAAAAAACCCGTGGTGTATACATTCCCCTATTACCTTCATTAATGAACCTTGTGTCTATGTATGCTGATAGTGAAATTTTGGCTCTGGAAGTCAATAGTAATCCAATTTCCAATCCAAATTTCCAAGTTTGTTCTCAAGTGATTTTAAATGTCATGATCCCAGCAGTTTGGTTTAAATGTCATGGAACAAGTACATATATATATACAGTCTTCTGTAAGTCTGTGAGGTACATTGCATTTTCACTCCAGGACTTTCATTCTTCTCTGGCTAGCTTCTTCCATACACATCAACCTTTTGAAAAGATTATTTGTGTCTTTCAAATTAAAAAAAAACAACAACAACAAATTAGGCAACTGTCTATTAAACCTATTTAGAATTGCCTTCTGTTCTTCCATATGTCTTGATAGATTACACTTCTTGAAAGAGTTTGGGGTTATTTCAGTAACGAAAGAGGTCTTGGCAGACTACCTCTGTAGCGTCTGCCTTGGAGACTATAATTAGAACTTCAGTTTCTGTTGCTGGTGGAATTCACCCCTGCTCCATTTTCTGTTTCCATATTGCTTAGAGGAAAAGGTTCCTAAAAATGTAAACCCATCACTTCCACACCTTTCTTTCTACCACAAGAAATTTGTAGTTGAAATGTTTATAAATGAAGCTAGACAAGTGTAGAAAATCTCTACTCTGTATGCAGATAAACCCATTAATGTAGTCTAAGAAGGGAATTTTCAAAAATAGCTGATTTTCTTTGAAATAGTAGAGGTTTTTTAATTTTTTTTTTTTTTGGTCAAAAGGTTAGATAGCTTGCATTCAGCAGCTTTGGTACATCTGAAATCAGATGGTGCAGAGAACCAAAATTCTTAGTCTTTATAGATTTATCAAAAGTATTCACACTTGTATTTAACAGATCAATTAAAAGTTAATGAAGTTTTTCATTTTCTGGTGTTTCACCCCCTTTGTGAAAGCTTTCTGAATTGTGTGGCCCTCTTCCTCAGGTGCATTTGTAGTTCCCGCTGATGATTGTGAAATTGTGAATTTTTGAAATGAATATAGGTATCTCTTGAAATGTAGCAAATAAACCCCCTTTCATATTGCTTTACTTCATTCTTTGACATCGTGGAGTATAGCATGTGTGGTTTTGGGTATAAAGCTGGTCTGACCCTGTCTGCTAGGAAGAATAATGCCAGAGATCCCAAAGGCAATTAAAATTTTCCATTACTACATGTAGGACCTAAGCGCTGCCTTTTCTTTGTTCATTCGGTTAAGCAGCCTTTGTATAAAAAATGAGTCATTTTACTTCTACTGTATCATACAGCAAGAACATGTTAAAATACTCTCAGAAATGTATCTAAGAGTCAACAATATATAAAGCTAGTTATATTTCTAGGATTGGGATTATTCTCTGAGAAGTAATTTGAATGAAATTAAGTAAATTATGGAGAAATCTCTAGATATGTTTTATTTTGAGGGTTGAAAACTAGCTTCAGAAATATGCTGGAAGTATTCTTTGATTAAGGTCCACTGGTAAATTATTTTGAACCAGTAATGCATTAATGCTGAGATATTTAAAAGATGAACGCATTTAACTGCAAGTCCAATCAGCCCTGACTTCTTTTTTTGGTTTGATGTTATTTAACTGTAATATGTGGTCGGTTGACTTTAAGGAGACAGCCAAGGCAATTATCTACAAACAGTAATTCACAGCATGTGTAATTGCATATAAAGTCATTTTGGTAGGTCAGATTTTGGATTTTCTCTGAAGTAGTTTGTTTAGTATGTGTGCTTATCTCATGTTTAATTAATCTTCTTTAATTAAATGCTTTTAATTATGAAACTGCTCTGCAGTGAATATATTGTTAAAATACAGCAAAATGATAAAAGAAATCTCTTCAGCTCTAGAAGTGAAAACTGTGATTTCAGTTAAGCTGTTTTAAGTGTGTATATATATATAAACAAAATCATTTTGTGTGTATATATAGATATATACATACACACTGAAAGTACTAATTAGGACCTACAATCATCTGTTTCAGGAAGCTCTAAAGCGCTGGAGAGATCTTCTCTAGATCAGTGTTTATCAATTTCTAGAGAGTTGCCTATTCATCTGCTTAGTATTTACCAAATGAAGTTCTGAATCTTCTGTGCATTTTCTCATTTCTTCCCTTTTTTTATTGAAGAGAACAATTTTAAGATTGGGATGGCTACTTGGAATTGTTGATTTGACTGGGAATGATATGAAAGTGTATTCTGTAGCAACAGAAGAGCAGCTTTCTACGTAAAGAGTATTGGACATGTAGCTATTGTCTGCATTGCCCGTTTTTGTGGCGTTTTATCCTGTTTTTTAATTGTCCTGTGATAGGAGCACGTGCATGGTCCTGAATTCATTAAATGACAATGTAGTCATCATTGCCTTGATGGTGCTGGGTAACACCAAGCCTACGTGCTCATTCCCTTGGCCAAGATCTGCCTAGATTTGACTCTGAACCCCCTGCAGCTGCTGAGCACAGGAGCACCTGAGTGTTACCATGCAAATAACTGTGATTCCAGTACCTAGAATCCAAAAACGTGGATCCTGATCCTGTAGAGTGGGCTCTTTTAAAACAAAGGAGCAATTACCTAGTGTAAAGGGCAGGCAGTGCGCTGTGCGGTGTCACAGGTGGGTAGCAGCACTTTGTATGTTGTTTCCGTCAGTAAGAGCAGCAAAGTAAGAAGAATCTGACCATACCTGCTCAGAGGATGTGGGATCCTGTAGCTCTCGGGCACTGCTCAGGCACTGTTGGTTTTATTATCAGCTTGCTAGGGGAAGCTATTTCATCTCTGCGTGTCTGCTTTCCTCTTTGTAAGGGTTGCCTGTGTTTCCTTCTTATGACTTGAAATGCGTTGGTGCTGAGGTTGGTGCAAGTGATGGAGGGCAATATATGTTCCATCTCTATATGTTCCCGGATCTCACAGCAGCTGGTTGCCACCAGTGAGCTGGTGCCTGGGTGTGATGCTGGTTCTCCAGATGTGGCTGTAGAGGGGGGAGTTGGCGTTTATTCAGAGCATGTGCCACCCAGGACAAGAGCTTGTTGCCCCCTCTGTATATAGTGCAGTGGATCTTTTAGGGCTATACAACCATACAAATAATTGTGAGGATTTTGTAGTAGTTAATACTAAACTTAAACTCCACTCTGCTGTAACAGCAACAATTTAAAGAAGAAAATGGCAAGAAGGTGGCTAGAGAGGTTTTTCCTTCTTGGTTTACAATGTTTGCAGACTATTTTTACACCTTGCCTCTCTTACCAGCTAAGGCTGATACGAGTTCTTTATCCCTATTCATTTTAGTGCTGTCCCTGATTCCAAAGCAGAGCTTAGACTGAGATGAGTTGCTGTCATATCTGTCAATGTTAAATTTCACTATCTGTGGAAGTCTGAGAGTGCTCTCATGGATTATGGCTCTCATCTTTCATTTATCTGTCTTTCCTCTGCTCCAGTGGAACAAACTGAAAATAAAACATACATGTTATTTCACTAGAAAAGAGAAAATAGCCAGAATAATTTTATTTTCCTTTGCGTATTTCCTTTTAGTGAAATGCTGATTATTTTAGCTAATCAGGATTTGCCACTTACCATCTCCTGATAGATTTTGCTCTTTGAATGTTCTTGAGAAAAAGTCACTGACTTCTGCAGCAAATCATCTTTAAAAATATTTCTATTTTTTTCATGATCCAGTTTTTGTATTTAGAATTTCAGCTCAAGCATAGTCTTTGTAAGTTGTTCACATAAGTGTGTGTGGATAGTAAACAAGAATGCCCATTGCAGCTGACAAAAATACACGGGTGAATTCTTTACATTTGCTTTTTGACATGGGAATGGGTTAGAATTGTGCCATGACCCTCACTGGTATTTGTGTATAGGATTTATTTTTATTAAACAAGAGACCAGGATTCCATTAATCTCAAGCAGCATGTCAG